CCTGTGGTTTTTCCTCCTTGTGCTCTCCCGATTCTCTCCCCCATCCCACCGAAGGGGGGGGGGTGAGCGAGCGGCTGCGTGGGGTTAAACCACGACAGGAGCCTGTCAGAATTTGGACAAAACTCAAGATCATTTCTACTCCTGGCCCTGTCATTGTCCTGCTTGGGTGATGCCGGAAAAGCCACTTTTACTCTCTGTGCTGCATCTTCTCCCTCTGTAAAATAGTGCTAATGTAATTTAGCACTATTTTTCAAATATCTTTGTAAAACCTCTTCATAAGAATGAGCAATTTTTACTCTTCTATGCCTCACTTCATTATAAGTTGGGCAGATTTTTGTCTGGCTCGCTCTTTTTCTTTGTGCATGTATCAAGTGGAGGATGTAGTTTAGCATTATGTCATTTTATGTATGGCTTTTATGTGCATTACTCTCTGTGTCTGAGATGCAAGGGAACAAAATAATTTGGAGGTGGTTTTTGTTCTTTTTTTCCTAGGAAAACTGAAATGCCCAGTATATCCAACAGAACTGGTGTTTGCCTTGGACACCTCTACGACACTCACTCCTGAGACATTTGAACGAATGAGAGAGATTATAATAGCAATAGTGAGTGATGCCAGAATCAGAGACAGCAACTGCCCAGTGGGAGCCAGAGTCGCTGTTGTTTCCTACAACTCGGTTACCCACCACCTGATCCACTTCTCAGAGTTTCACAACAAGAATAAGCTACTCAACGCACTAAAAATATTTCTTACCAGAGATCCTCCAGTGAACAGGACACTGGAGGTGTGATGAGATTCATTGCCAAGAATGTTTTCAAGAGAACTCTACAAGGTCCTACTGTGAGAAAAATAGCTGTGGGTTTCAGCCATGGACCAGCTGCAGATGCATCTTCTGTTAAACAAGCTGTCCTGGAGATGAGTGCAGTAGAAGTCGTTCCTGTAGTTACTGCTTTTGAAAACACACCCCATATCTCCCAAGCTTTCCTGGTAAGAAATTTACTAAACTTTTCTTCTTTATGCTCAGTAATGTTAGTTTAAAACAGGAAACCTTAAATGTATGAGGTCATGCTTACCCCACATGTAATGCTCTGGAGCATAGCGACTCACCTATATCAAACTTTGATCCAAATTCTGCACACCAGTAGCTGTCAGTTAATCTTTAGGGATGCTAATGAAAGGTGTGGAAATACTGGGGATTTTATAAGAATACCTTAGCAGACCACAACAAAGATAATGTGTGCAGACCATAAAATACATGGGTAACTTTATAGAGGAGAGATTTCATGGTCAATAACTTTCTGATTAAAGCATCTGTTACAACTCTAATACTTTGGGACTATTGACATCTGCTTATAATCCTGTGAAGCAGATCATGGAACAGCAAGTTCTCAGGTTTCTAGATGGTTCACTCTAAAATAGTAAAAACTCACAGAATGTGTTTAGTTGAAAAACCTTCAATGTACCAGCAAGCCTTGTACAATAAATGGCTAGGTGCAAATTCCTTGTTTTATCACTTGGCAAAGAAGCTACCAAAAGAGGGTGGAGTTATGGAAAATGCTTCTGATGCATAATAAATTGTTAAGAGTTAAAAACCCTCTTGTTCTTTGTACTAGCATTTCCATAGCTTTAATGTGTATGAAATATGTGTAGTAATAAATAGAAAGAAAAAAAAATCAAAGAACTAAAATATTGAACAGTAGGTAAAGCATACTAATGCTAAGTTTTTTCAAGAACTAACCACAGGAATAGTTAAGATAGCAAGAACTATTTGTGGTTTTCCTGTTGTCTGGACTTCAGGAGTCAACTCTTGTGAGGATAAAAATGTAGTGTTTTAACACTGGAGATTTCTGAAGAAGACAATTCCTCCAGTGCACCTGGAGCATGCTCCATGCCTCCTTCTTGTGGCCCTGTTACTAGATGTAAATGATCTTCATCAAGGTGATAAATGCAACATTAGTAAAGGACATCCACTTTCACTGCCAAGGATACTAGAGATTCTAAAAACAATTTCTCAGATTAAAAAGCAAGCTTTGTTTTCTAGGCCAGTGTGACATGAGAGCTTTTATTGAGGCTCCTTTTCGTCATCCTTTTGGAATGTTCTTTCCTAGAAACAAATGCAATGTGAGTAGTAAAGGAGTGTGGTCATCTCTCCCAAGGTCTGTACGTTGTGCTTTCCTGGCAAAGTGTTTCAGAAGCTCTCCTTTCTTTTCAGTGGCAAATAGTTCATGTGCTGGAATTTGTTTTTCTATGAAGTAGCTTTGAAATGAGGTTGGTGGCTTTATCTCAGAGACTGCTTTTCTTTTAATTTAAGTCTCACTTTCTTACCTAGAATCAATGCAACTAAAGATTCTTCTCTGCCTATTCCATTATCTCTTTGCTTCAAAATTCCTTCTCTAATTGTAAGACGATTGTCCTGACAGTCACTTCTACAAATGAAACGAGATCACATACTTGGAGACACAAAGTTAGGAGTAGACTTGTGTTTGTAGATTGGATTTCCAGTATTCTAGAATATGGCAGACATTGGCTGGAGTTTTGTCACAGAAATTACTTATGGCAGATCAAGGTCTGTACTCTTTTTGGTGTTTATCATGGAGGTGCCCTAAAACCATTGAAATGTCTGTGGGAACATTATGGGTCAATGTGTTTGGAACTCATGAGAGTAGAAGGAGTAATTTCCTAAAACCTTGGCTTACCAGCACTGTACTGTCTTGCTACAGACCCTTAGGTAGTTGTTTAAATACAGAATGTATAAAACAGGCCAGCTTTAGTGATGTATAGGGATGTGCATCTCAAAGGTACATCTCTGTCCAGCATCATCTTTATATCACTTGTGAAGTTGTTCATGATTAAGAATGGTGCTAAATCCTTTCCTCCCTTCTTCTTTCATGGGCTTCTAAGAAGTTATATGTACGAGGTATCATTCTGAAAAGACTTTTATGAGGGTACTCTGTCTTAAGGCTGTGTGCCTGGCAGGTGTCCTGTTTTGCTTTGTGCTGCCTCATATTGGATGAGGTTCCTTATTATGAGGAACTGGGTGAAAAAGGAATGGTGTGGAGCTTCTTCTTCAAGGGAAAAACTGTAAAATGCCACTGCTTGTCTGTTCTGGTGCCGAGCAATCTTCTCGTAAGTAGATGTGTCTGTCCTACTTTTACCTATGAGTGAATGCACATTCACTTTACAAAATAAGTTCTCAGGAACATGAGTAGCACTTTGCCACCAGATGTGCTTTCCTCTTGTGATCTTATTGCCCTTTCTCTGACACTTTTCTAAAGAAAATGGGTGAAAGGCCAATAACTGGGCTTTTGCCATCTTGCCTTAGGAGCACAGTGCAGGGAAGGGACACTGGGAAAAGGCATATTATGAGGCAGTGCATCTGACACAATTCATGCACCATTTTCACAAAGGAGAAACTGTGAAACGGCAGGAGCGTAGGAAGTCTTTGGAGCTGGAAGGTATAGTTCAGCTGAGTAGCCTGGCTACTTAGTTGGGTGTTGTGGCCCACATCATTGCAAATCTCTCCTATCCATTGTTGCAAAATCAATTATTAGAATTATGTTGTTAAGGTAGATGGCCCTTATCACTGATGACTTCAAAATCCTCAAGCCAACAAACTCTTTCTTTTGCAAAGTATGAGGTGAATCAATGGTGCCCCCATAAAGCAGCTAATGAAAATTAAAAACCTGTTGTGATGTGGTTTCTGCCCTTTTCGTATATTTTAAGTAACAAAGCTCAAAATTATTAGTAGTCACATTGCCCTGAATAGGGCATTTTGTACAAGTACTGCAGGTAAACTTTATCCTCTAGAATAAATTGCTATATACTGGAAGTTCACTAAAGTATGGATTAATTTTTATTATTCTGCTGTTTAGTTTCTGAAAGGATGTTATACTCTGGTCACTTGCTGTACAGAAAAAATATTAGAAAGGATTTCATAATTGTAGCAGTTCATTTAATACTGCCAAGTGGTCCTACAGGGAAATGGGATTTGTGTATTGTAAATGTCCTAGCAAATAATGTAATTTCATTTTATACAGAAAGGTCCAAATTCAATGACATATACTTGGCATTAAAGAATATGTTATGGAGTGAGGGTGTATTTCTATGGAATAATGTAAAAAAGATTGTGCAATAACTATAAATTTTGAGTTGAGAGATTATTTTTCTGTCTGATGAGGAATGAGAGAAAAGATATAAGAAAAAAGAATTGTGAGCAAGACATGGAAGATCTTTACATTAAGAAAATGGACCTATTGATTTAGATTGTGTTAATATTCACCAAAAATAATACGTGACCTTGCAGAAATTATAATACTGCTACATAGGAAGGATTTTATGAATTTAAAGGATGTATTTCTTCCTTTCTTCCCTACTTTATAAAGTAAAACTGTTGTTTTAAAATTGATTAGGTTATGTTTCTCTAACATGCAGTTGAAACTCATGGAGCAATGTCCAAGATTATTTTAGCCTATTAGGTTTTTATTGTGACTTGCATAATTAAATAACGTTATCTAGGAAAAAGACTTCCACATCACACGTAGTCTATTAAGAGACTATATTAGGTACAGCGGGACTCGTGTGGAAAACACCAAAGGGGGACTGTGTTTCTCATTAAGACTGAATTATTTAGCCCCATTCCTGTGTTTTCTATTGCAGATAAGTTATTTGAAATGGAAACCTCTTCCTTTTCCTCAAATGTCATGCTCAGCTTAGAGGTTTACAGATCATAGAATCATAGAATAGTTTGCGTTGGAAGGTACCTTTAAAGGTCATCTAGTCCAACCCCCCTGCAATGAGCAGGGACATCTTCAACTAGATCACATTGCTCAGAGCCCTGCCCAGCCTGACCTTGAATGTTTCCAGGGATGGGGCATCTACAACCTTTCTGGGCAACATTTTCCAGTGTTTCACCACCCTCATCATAAAAAATTTCTTTTTTATATCTAGTCTGAATGACAGTCTAGATGAGAAACTGAAGCTTACTGAATATCTCTGTTCTTGTGCATATGCCTCAGGCCTCCTCATGAGAGCAAGCCCAACAGGATCTGACCTGCCACTTCTTTCAGATTCACTAGATTTTATTTATTTCCTAAAGCATTAATTGTCTTCATCCAAAAAGGTGTCACTTCTTCCAAAAACCAATGAATTAAAAAATTAACTTTAAAATGTCACTTTAAGAGATTATGTAGTGTGGTTAAGGTATAAATACTCCGGGATCCAGCACAGATTTAAACTTTGTTCACCTTGCAAAATCACCACAAGGTGCCAGTGATCGCTGCTGCTGCTTCCTCTGTGTGAGAAGAATCACATCCTAGGCAGATGGGAAGTTTACTGTCTTTCTTCCTCCTGTAAATGTGAGGAAGTTCATTTCAAGTTGCATTTGTTAGAGTGGAGCGAGTGGTGTGAGAGGGTAAACACAGGTGGGGCACAGGCAAAACCAAAGAACTAGTTTTGCTGTTTCAGTTCTTTCTGTAAGGAAAAACAAGAGTTGTCTGGAGACAAAGTTCATAAGTGAGGATGGAAGTGATCCAAAAAGCTGGTACCCAATGATCTGGAAGCCTCTCAGGAGTTTTGGCCTAGACAGATGATATTCTGGTCATTACATTCCCTATATTTATGATAGTGAACTCAAAAATCCTCCGTTTGTTTATTCTGAAAAGAGGACTTGTTGAAGTAATTCCTGAAAGATGAACTGTAATGGCAGATACTGGGAAAGGAAGGGAGGAAGTGAGGAAGGGAGGAAAGAAGGGAAGGAGGAGGGAAGGAAGGAGATTAGTTGCTTCCCCAAAGTAACCACAGCTCTTGAAAGTATTATTGCTGTGGATAAAGCTAACTGTTCACTATCACTGCTTATCAGTGGCCTTCCCTTTAAGCTGTGAGAGAACCCAGGCAGACATCTCCATTGAGGGGTTCGTTCCTTGGCACAAGGACACATGAAAGCATGGAGCTTTTGTGGATTCAGACAAATAGTGCTATAAAAAGCATTCTGGTCTCTTTCCCATGAGGCGCATAAATATTGATATCTAGCAGAACCAGGGTGTCTGTAAGATAAGGAACTTCTTTTTAGGAGGATGTCAAAGCTCTGTGCAGTTTCATGCGTATGCCAGACTTCACTGGCAGACTTTATGACAATTTATTCACAGTTTAGTAATATATAATAATGTATGGAAACAATACATAAGCATAAATATATCTATATAAACATGTGTATGGATGTTTATGAAATGTGTAAGATTTTTGTCAATAACATGATTTGATTTTCCTTTTTGTCCATTGGTAGCTTTTAAAAATATTTTAAGAAGAAACAGCTATATTCAAATCCAAGTGTTGAAGTAATATTTTAAACAGGACAAGGAATCTGGTATTAGAAACCTTTGGTAGTGTTTTAGATAGGTCCCAACTTCGCAAGGGATCGCTTCATGTCTGAGACACAGCCATCAACTCAGATTGCTTAGTTTGCTTTTTCTGTAGATAATTTTTCTGCCTGAAGCTTTTGCCAGACATTTTGACCATGTTAAATATTTTACGTTTGAAAATCTGTGTATGATGTCATGCATTTTATCACACTCCAAGAATGCAGAATTTCCGCTGGGACCTGTCAGTTGAGGATCTAGCATGGACAGAGATAGATATGAAGTCTTTTGCTTGTTTTGCAATAGTGCTAGAAAAATGGCTTTATCTCATTTTAGGGCTTAAATAGGAACAAGTCTATATGAGATTACCACAACTGGGATATGTGCACTAATTGTCAGCAGTGCATCCCTGTTCCCCCTACCCCCCCTCCCCCCCGCAATGGGTCTTCTGGGCCAAGTTTGTGCACTAAATTTACACTTCAGCAGCAGCAAGAAATCATAGAGCACTTACTCAGCAGTACTTACCTGCTGTCTTTATTTTTTGTTTCTAGGTGGATGATTCTGGATTGTTTCAGGTGTTAAATGTTCGTGGTGCACAATATAATGAAGCGTTACAAAGATTTCAGCTCTGCACTTTGTGCTATGGTAAGACCAATACAGTATTTTGAACTGTCATTAAAGGAGAAATACAGTATTATGTAGAGTTGCCTAGTGAAGAGCAGTGAGATAAGCAAAAGAGCTGAGGCATTCTTCTGGCCTTACATAACCCTAGCAAAATTATTTGGCTTTGTTTCTTCTTAATGTGTTGAATTCCTAAAGTAGAATCTGTTTCCAGTGAACATGATTTACTGGTAAACTATCACCTGCATTGTCATGTCTGCTAAATCCATTTCAAAGGAAAATACTTAAATTGAAAAAACATGTTTGTCCACCTTAAACTTCATCAAATGTGGTGTTAAACATCTAGAGCCATTTCTTTACTCCTATCTTTCTGGGACCTTCTACCTAGGATGAGCACATGCTTTTCTTTCAGGGTATTTGAATCCTTGTCTGACCAGAATGCCTGGTTGAAAAGAATGCATTTACTTGAATTGCATCCTAAAAGCAAGTGTTAATTAAATGTAGCAGAGCAAGGCTACCAGTGTCCTTCAGCTTTAAAGCCCTGCATGACAAAGTTTACTAACCTTTAAGAAGCTGTAGCAGTGATAATCAATCCTGCCTTCTGTGAAACCAGTATCTTCCCAGACTGGTGAAGACAGGTAATAGGGCTAGAGCCGACATCCTTCTCTCTTTCCTTTTCCTTATTCTTCAGAAGATCATTTCTGGTCTTTCCATCACTATGTAAAGCTGGAGAGTACCCCTATGTATTCCTACAGGGAACACAGTGGTCAGAAAGACAGATGAAGTATTAACATGAATATCTCATTTTGTGACTCATCTAATGGTCTGATGTTCATTTGAGGTCTCCGGACTTCTTTATGATGAATCTGTGCAGTGCAGCAGCTATTAGTACACGTAACAGTGTGGGAGGAAGACTTGTTATTCTGCTGGAATCTGGACAATCTACTTGTATGTTCTGACTCTGAGTTGGATTTACTTTTCATAGAAAGTAGTTAGAAAGATTAGCAAATGTTTTAGAAGTCTTCACTGCAGTCATTTTTCAATTTTTGGAATATTGATCAACTTTGACTCCTAACCAGAGTCCTCAACAACTTGGTGAAGATCACTAATATCACAAAGACCCTCTTCTGTGAAGAACACCATTGTGAAGATTGACCCTTGTGCTTTCTGCATTACTGGGAAAAATTGCAATTCTGAAAATGCTGTTTTCTTTTCTTGACCCAAAGTTCTTTTTCAAAAAGCATTGATTTCTCCTCTTAGTGCCATAATATTTTAGGTTTCCTCAAAAAGCTTCCAGCAGTTGTATTAGTTAGGAATAACACTTCTATTTAAATAGCCACATAAATACATTCTGACATGTTGCCCAAACGATAAAAAGTTGCCCAAATGATAAAAAGTTGCTATGCTTGGTATGTGTAGTGATCTCTGTCATAACAAAAAATGAAATACCTTATCAAATACATACTGAAGTAAACAGGAGAGTTTTTGGGGTTTATTGATTTTAATGGGAAATAAGGACCTGGTTTCACATTTTTCCTAAATCTTGGTTTTTTTAAAACCTGTCCAAAAATAAACAACTATAATGTAATTAACTCTATTGCTGTGATCTTTTTTATTTCAATGGGAAATAGAACACCAATTGTTTTGCAGAACCGGGTGCATAATTATGTGTTTTGAGTCAGCCTTTGTTTTCCTAACATGCATTGAGGTCTTTCTAGTGGTTTTGTTCTTTTTTTTTTCCTTTTTTTTTTAAATCAGCCATTCTGACACTTTAGATCTGTGATCACATTCATTGTTACATATTTGCTTTTTGATTTATCAAAAAAAATGTTACTTAATCTTACATTTTTTTGCAGACAAATATAAACCAGATGCTTTTTGTGAAGGTCCCAGCCCCCGTTTACTGCGGGCATATGTGGATGCTGCATTCATTCTGGAGAGTTCACAGAGAATGAGTGGTGCTGAATTTGAGCAAGTCAAAGACTTCATGAGCAAAGCAGTCACTGCATTCAACATTTTCTCGGATCCAAAAACATCTGTTGTAGGTGATAGAATAGCTGTGGTGAGCCATGCACTGTCAGATTTCAAAGCAGGCATAAGGAAGAGGCCAGTAAAGAAAGAATTCGACTTTGTTACCTACCGCAGTAAAGACCAAATGAGAAGATATATTAAAGAATCTCTTCAACAGCTGAATGGAGAGGCTACTGTCGGCTATGCCCTACAAAGGACAATTGCTAGCATTTTCGCAGGGGCTCCCAGTCCAAGGCCACTCAAAGTTATCATCATTATATCTGCTGGAAAAACGAGTCAATGGGACAAAGGAACATTAAAAAAAAGTCCTATGACAGAAATGAACTGGAAGAGCTTGCAAGCACTCCTCTGGAACTGCATTTGGTTCAGCTTGGCAGAATCCACAAGCCTGAACTTGACTATGCAATGAGGTTTCTGAAGCCATTCATACATTTCCTCAGGAGTAAGTTATCACATCACAGGTGGTGGGGTTTTTTTATTTCCCTGTGAATTTTTCAGTATTCTGCGAAAGCACTGGATGGATAAGATTGGGGTGTACTCATGGATGTGCATTGCTGGGCATGTTATATTCATTCTCCCTTCACAGAGGTCTTCAGCCTCGTTCTTTGGGTAAAATCAGGGATTATATCCATCCTCCTTCATTCCAGGAGTCTTTATTTTGGTGACTGATATCTATAGGGCCTGTTGTTTGCCATCAGTTTCACAAAGAGTTTAGCCAGGAACAACTGATGGAATGGATATGGCTTTGATGCTGAAAGAAGCGCTGCTAAGATTGCCATTGCCATGGAACACAGCTGCTTTTTCTTTGCCTAGAAATATCCTTGATTTTGAGAAATAAATATTTGGTTATAAAAATGTTATTTTCAAAAGCACAAATAACACCAGCTTTCTCGTGCAGAGCACCCTCACCGTCAAATATTTAAGGTTCTCCATTGCCTTTAGATTCTAACATCACTGAGACCCGTGGCTTCCAATAGGATGGAAACTCCTCAGTGCAGTTCTTTGAGCGACTTTGTCCTGATCATATACTGTATTTTCAGCACGGAAAATGTATAGCTAGAGGGGAAAATCAGCCATCTTCGGGGTTGTTTAAATACAGGCCAATGGAGAATGGAATGGAATTCAGAATTCATTTTATAATGCGTATATGGAAATCCTGCTACACTGCTGGGATTTAGAAGAAAAAATTGGCTGTGGGGCTAAATGCTCTTGGAGTGAAATATTGACAAGTGCCCTGCTCCCATTAAAGATCAACTCCCTTCAGTGGGATCTAGGTACTTCTGCTTCATCACTCAGCTTTGGAAGTCCAAGACCTAACTTTTTTACTACTGTAAAAATATAAAATCTGTCTGTCAAATGAAAATGAGAACAGACTAATGATTGCCTGTATCCTCTACAAAGTGTGTTAAACTGTGAATATAGGCCACATAAAAAGACATCGGATGTTAATGTTATTTATAGACTTTGTTAGTGGCTTTTAGCTAAAAAGTCAGAACAACTTACTAAGAAAATAAATAAATAAATAATACAGTATAAATATAATCCTCACATTCATCTAAACTTAAGTTTATTTAGGTCCTTCATTTTTTCATTCAAGTTAATTGCACTTTTTCCTATTGATGGGTGCAGAATCAGACCACCATAGCATTCATCTCTCTATATATAGTGTTTGTGATAAAATTCTCACTAATATAATATATAATTCTCACTAAAGTCTGTATAAAATTAATGAAGTCATTTGATTTGCAACTATTCTTGGATAAAAGGCTAAGCTTTGCCAAAATCTTCTAAATTCCACAAAACTAATGAATTTTGTAACTGTCTTCTGAACAGGTGAGGACAACTACCCACCACAAGAGCTCAAGGCAAAGTGTAGCAGACTCTGCTTTCAGAGCCAAAGACCTGTGTAAGTACATTACATAATTATTTGAATGTCGGGGGGTTAATGGTGAATAAGATTTGCTTTCAGAGCACTCTCCTTATTGGGTCTTTTCAATGAGCTTTTTGTTTACTGGTTAAAAGTCTGCTTGACTAGCAAAGGTAAAGAGTGGAACCGGACCATAATAAACACATTAGAAATTGACAGCATACCATGTTATGTTTTAAAACAAGTCTAAAATTGTTATACAAAATTAATGATATCCCTTGTATTATTTTTGTGTTTTAAATGTACCTTTGTTGTCACCCAAAGCTATACATTGTGCCCTTCTGAAAATTTCCAAGTGCCATAATATATTTTAATATTAAAATGCTACTTTTTATTACATGAAGGCTTAAACACAATGAGAAAAGAGAAGTCAAACTGAGGAAATCAGTCACTGATGGCAGCCAATATTGTGACTCCTCCTGCCAAAGGCATTGGTTGGTTCTGAAACTGAATCAAAGTGCAAAGGGCTCACTTTCAATGCAGAGATTCAGTAGGGAACTGCTGACCAGTAGGACACACACCGGAAAAGTGCTGCAAAAGGACTGCGAGGCCAGTGTTCAGGTCAGCAAAGGAAACATGAAGGCAATATGAAGCATAAAGACTCCAAGCCATTGTCTTCAGGGTTATCTCCCTGACGCACAACTAAGAACCTTGCGAAAGTTCCTGAAATTTTCCTGATTTGCATTACTACTGTATAGACCATAAGAATCTCTGTTACATAGGCAGGCACATTGTCAGCTTATATCTACTTGTTAGGGCAGATTTAGCATGAGCCTGGGGGAGAATCTGAATTCTTGGATTAGAAAAAAATGGTGATAATAATGAGCAAAATCAAAGCTTTTGAAATCTCTTCCTCCTGCTCTTGGAGGAAAATAGCTAGAGCAGCTGGTTGAGAGTTCTTTTTTCTGTTTTCTTATGTTTAGAAACACCATCTCTTATTTGCAGTCACCCTGTTCCAAGTCTTCTCGAGCAGCAGTTCACATATATGTTACCTTGGATCATGGCTGATAATAGCAGTAACATTGACTTGCAACAATCAACTTTATTTCTTATTCTCACTAAAGTCTGTGTTTTCTTGAGAGCTACGTATACATTCTTCTGCGCTTCTGTGCACTGTGCAAAAACATTTCTAACCTTCACTCATTTTTTTTTAAACTATATATGTATCAGTTCTTAGGACTTAAATTTTCAAGAGAATTGACTGCAAACAGTCAGGAAAGAAAACATTGTTCCGATACCAAGAGAAAAAATGTATTTTCTTGTTCTGTGTATAAAGAGGTTGGAGCTCTCTTAAATGGCATCTTTTCTCCTTCTCTGTTTGCATGTGAATGATTCACATAAACCTCTGTCCATTTTCTGACAGAACCCCCTCTAAGGGGGATGGAAAGCCTGATGCTTTCTTTACCCACCTGCTGCCTCTTCCCAGCTAGCCTTTTAAAGCAGAGTTGCGTTTTGGTTTCTCTCAGTTCCATACTGTTTCCAAGATTTAATGAATACAAACTGAACAGCAGAGTAGGTATCAGAATAGTAGGTACTTAGCTAAAAGGAGCAGACCTTGTTCTGGAAAAAGTCCTGCAAATCATTCTTAACTCTTTCTTGAATTGAATTTCCTGAGAATGGGTTTTGGGGTTTTGCAATCAAATGTTAAATCGTGCTTCATAAACTTTTCCTGAATTCTTTCTAGCTTTCATGCCCTTCCCGAGGTGTGAATACCAACCACAGATACCATGTTGTAAGAAGAAAATCATCAGTACCATGAAGAGACGAAATAGCTTTCCCATGCAATTTTCTGCTATTCATCGTCCCTTAAGAATGCATTAGAATGTTTGCTGAAATCATGACCTGATGATGGCTCTTTTGAAAACTGCTAGATGAGAAGTTATTTTTAGCAGTATCTGCTATGAAAAATGATGATGAATGCAGAGAGACACTTGGTCAGTGGGAGGCCAGAAGGCTCGGATTTCAGGTCCTTCAGAAAGAGATTTAGAGAGAGTGTATCAGACTGCATCAGATTAATTGCAGATGGAGCTCATGGATTCTCCACTTTCCATATCGTTAGCTTTTTCATTTTTCTTTTCTCCTGGATCCTTAAGAGGGGAAAGTGGGTTGTGTTTCGTTGTTAGGAACTACAACGCTCCACAGTGATGAGAGATGTTTTATTCCCATCTATTTCCATCACAGGGTCCTACAGGAGCACTCATTAAGTCTGTGGGCTCAATCAAGCATATGAGTTGGAACAAGATTTTCTCAACTAAATACTGGCTATCTTAAATACAAAAAGCATGCAGAAGATGGGGAGAAATAACTAAAGACATAAATTTCTGTCTTCACAAGGAGATGTTTTAGTTTGCTTTGCTTCTCAGATGTCTAGGAAGGGCAACAGGAATGTGCTCCCCTTAAAAGGCACCCAGTAACCTGAAGACAGACAGAAGCAGTTCATGATTTTAGTCTGGAAGTACACTGCATTCTGGAGAGATGTCTTTTTCTCTTCAATGTTTCGGAGAACAAGATCACTAGAAAGATATTTGTTTCGAAATTACAGTACCTATCTCTCATGCCTCAGAGAACTAAAAGATTGCCATTGCTTTGAGAAATCTGAAAATGTATTTGAGGTCTGATGTTGATATGTAGCCTCTGTACTGCACAGATGAGGCTATTGAAAAGCTGCATTCTACCACAGTGTTGAGTTCATCTGGGCTTTTTACTGATGCTAACAGATTTGCAAGGTGCCGTGAACTGTGTTTTATTTTTTCTGTTGTTGTTATTAAGTTACATTGCAGGATTTCCATTTATCTCAACGGCTCTGCTATAACATGTATATACGTCCTCATTAAAATGTTCTGCACAGAAAGCATCCATAGAACAATTTATTTCAGATGAAAGAGAACTGCAAAGTAAAAATTAAATTTGGTGTCTTTGTGGGATAGCATGTGTATATCCCCTTTGCAATTTACAGCATCATTCATGCCTCACAAAATGGAATTGTTCCTCAGAGGTGCAAGAATCTGGGAAATGTGAGGTTAGAGTGCAAGAAAAAAGAGTTTTCTTTATCTTCTAAATATCCTTGCGAGGAGCTGGGCCTTAATGGAGTTCCGATACAGAAAAACAGAAGAGATTTGTGAAGAGAGAACACATTTGTTGCATTTGAGTTATGTAATTTCAAGTCAGCATAAAAATGAAAAGCATACTGACTGCTCAAAGGTTGCACATTTCATGAAGATTCACATAATAATTTTGATAAATTAACAGCTAGAAATGAGTGTGTGCCTTAGCACTTTATAACTTCTTAATTGTAATATGTCCAACACAAAATATCAGCTTCTTTTTATAGATAAAGCTAAAAATCTCAGGAAAATAAGGAGTCCATTCTGATATCATTAAAATTACCAACTACTTCACACATTACATTCTTTAATTTGGAACTGTGCTGTACCCAATATGACATGGAAGAAAGGTTTTAAAATTGTGCTCCAAAACAAAAA